CAGAGTAGGTCTGAAGGACAGCCCAAGGGGTGCACTGAGTAGGGTTGAATGAGACTAAACTCTCATTAGAGTTAGAGGATAGGTTTAGGTTAGATATTAGGAAGAACTACTTCACTGTAAGGGTGACCAGATCCTGGAATAGGCTTCCCAGAGAGGTGGTGCTCTCACCTTCCCTGGAAATCTTCAAGAGGAGACTGGATAGGCACCTGGCTGGGGTCTTCTGACCCCTGCCACCCCCAGTGCTCCTTCCTGCCCATGGCAGGGAGTCGGACTAGATGATCTGTCTAGGTCCCTTCTGACTCATTGATTCTATGATTCTATGACTGAAGGACAGCTTAAGGGCCAGCCCCATGAGAAGTTGTGCCCAGTGAGAGGCTTAGGGCAGAATTAGCCCAGGGTTTGTCATAAGGATGGGCCACGTAGAGTAGGGGAACTTGCAGGAACCAAAGGTTCTGCGTGCCAAGGCCAGTATGGGAGTAATGAAGCCTGATAGCCCAAGAGGGGCTGCTCAAGAAGGAGAAGGGCAGTGGAGTGTGACCCATTAACAGGCAGTATGCCAGAGGCCCCTGTGAGAGAGGGGTGGAGTGGAAGAGGCCTCTTGTGAGACGGGAGGTGGTCTGAATGTGTGTGTGTCTGGAGCCCAACTTTGGACTCAGTTCCTCTGGTCTCAGACTGGGAGTAATATTAATCTGGATGCCATCTGAGAGGCTTTGACTATGGTGTAGGGGAGGAACAGAGCTGCAGATAGTGCCGCCTAGCATTGGGGCAATAATGGGCAGTCTCCTGCATTATACCAACAGTTTATGAAAACAACAAAGACGTGGCAGGAGTAACTAGGCAAATTGGCCATAGAAACAGGTGGGTGGGCCGGCAGGAGATCTGGTGCTGAGCTTGCCCCTTGTTACACTGTCCTTAGCCCCATAGGTCAGTGCAGGTGATTTGTTGATCTAGAGACAGAGTGCTCAAACCTTTCTAAAATATTAATTTCTTTAAGCATATATATGGTATTTACATAATACATGATGATATTGTGATGAGCAATAATTCTATTTGCTTGGGATAACCTTGCTCCTATCATTGCCTCTCTTCAGTAACATGATTAACATGATTTCATTGTTCCAAATCAAAAAAAACCCTGCATTCTATATCACATCATCATGAAATCTCTACTTCTACTTACAATGGTACAAATAAGAGTGAGGTGGTATAAATATTCTGTTATCTATGTACTAAATGCAGCTTACCTATAAATGTTTTGATGCCATAAGTGGATTTTTTGAAATGCCATTATAAATTCACATCTGAAAATAGATCTAAGGTCTTTGGACATTGGGAGCATCTCCCCATGAATGGGAATGTGTTTCCCTGGAGAAAGACCACAGTGGCATAATGTGTACCACTGCTACCTGTCCTCAGGGAACACCTGTGTCACACATGCTCTGGGCTCCTGGGGCCCTCTGGTAGCTGCCACCATGGAGGTCCTGCAGCAAGAAGCTGGCCAGCAGCAAGAGTGTGGCTTCAGCTGACCAGGCTCTGGTTTTGGGTGACATGCACTGCTGCCATGTGTGCTGCCCTGCTTTTTTTAGGGGCAGTATTTTTTTTACCTTGGGATCTCCCCTGTATGTAAGTCATGTAAGGTGTGTGGTGCGGAAGATGGGTCTATGGCACTGCATACTGCACATTCACGCTCATTTGGACATGCCCTAGGATTTGTCCTCAGTGATACATTGCTCTGAACAGCCAATAGACCTATATTACATATATTTCTATGATATTTTTCTCTTCACTAAGATGAATTTTGTCATGCTTAGTATGTATTGCTGACTCATTGACTCTGCCTTTCATCCAGTGTTCACTTGTTTCCTGTTTCACATATTTTTACTATGACTAGATTCTCATTAAACAAAAGTTTCAAAGAATAATGTCACTCTTTAGTTATGTATAGGGAATGTGCAGAAATATATTAAATACTTTATATGTATATAAAGATTGGATCTATAACATTATAAACCCAATATTGGACATGGCCAGGAAACATTAATCAGTCACAGTGTCTGACTAAATATAAATTATTAATCACTTATGTAAACTGAGCAAAACTGATGTACTATTTAGAGGCTAGTAAACCAGTTTTGTCATTTGTAGATAAGTAAAAGAAAAGCAGTATGTCCTGAAATTTTGGGGTTGTTTTCCTTTAAATTACATCATGCATTTAAAAATATACTTTCTACAAAATGCATGCAGAATTGACAAAAATACTCATATTAACAATCGCAGTAGCGTCACAATTCTATCTCTACATAGTGCATTTAAAAATTGCCTATTACTGTTATGTGATAGTGCTAAAGAAGTACATTACTGTCAAAAGGTGTACAGAGTTGTCTTAATCTAAAGTGTTACCAAAATCAAAAAGTCAGAGGTTAACCAAAAAAGCATTGTTTATTTCATTAAAGAACTAGTATCTATTTAAATATCCAAGCTCACATTGTATAATTTGTCCAAATATATTTAAAGTGTAGAACTCATGCCCTGCTTTGGAAAAAAAGGGTTTTATTCTTTGGTGTCAGTAGTGCTAAATTACTCATACTGTAGAAATAGCATTTCATATCTCAGTGCTCCAGTAAAATGGAATCTGCTCCCAAACACTGCTCCCATTGGACAAATTTAAAAATAGAATATCATTTTGATGTCCTGTTATTGTAAAGAAATCTAGATTATCTAGACTTTTCTGTGATAAATGGTAAAGCCTTTTGTATTAATATGTGCTCCTATGTACATTTGGACTTATTATTACTATGAGTGAGGGGAAACGGGAGCATAACAGCATGTCAGGGTCACCAGAAAAATTGCAGCCATCATCTGATGGTTCCTTTGGGCCTGAGGGAGTCACAGGCAGCCTGAATTATAGATATCATGTAAACATCTATGTACACTAGCACAGATAGCCCTTGATAAGTACTGGATTATGTCACAAAAGGTGGCAATAAAATATTCTTTCTGTAATGACAGGTATGGAGATGGTATGAGAAATAGAAAACTTGTAACAAAATATTATTTTAAGAGAACAAATCTACTTTAAAGTGAGATTATTATCAACTTAAGCTAAAACCTATCAATGGAAGAGCAGTGATTGTCTTTAATTGGCTTAATCAGGTTCCTAAACTACAGGAAGTTAACATTTAGCTGTTAAAATACATTTGGATATGTAGGAGACAGAGAAGTTTTACACCTTACAGACTAACTAAATCAGAGATGTATAGCATAAGCTTCTGTAAACAAATGGCTTCATCAGATGCAGTGAAGGGATCCAGGAAGCAGAATACAAAGGGTAGGGAAGCAGAGATGAAAAAAGAGGGGGCACTGCTGAGAGAGACAAGGCAGGTAGAAGAAAGGAAAAAAAAAACAGTTAACCAGTGAGGAACACAGGGTTTATAATAGATAATCCAAGTAACAGGCTAAGAATTCCACAATTTCCTGTTCAATTTAGTTTTAAAGTTTTGTTGTCTAGGAACCGCTACCCTAGGGTAAGCAATGAAATGTCCAGGAAGGTTAAAGGGTTCTGCCATGGGCATGTCTGTCTCTCTAACACTGATGTCAAATCAGTGTTCATTCATTTTTACACGTAGGGATTGACCGTCTGTCCAATATAGGTATTGTAGAACAGAGGATACTGTCAGGTACTGTAAGCAGGTAATGGCATACAAGGTGACATTGGTAAAGGTGCAGGGAAATGAACATTGGCTATTACAATCCATATTATTTGGTCCAGTGATGATTCAGCCTGTACTGATGAGGGGACATGCCTGGCAACTCAATCCAGACCAAGGCCTGGTGCCTTGGTGAGAATAAGAGGTAGATAGTCTGTTCCTGGAGAGATGCTGTTCATGGTTGGGGAGCTGCCTGGAAGCAGACCATTTTGCCCCCTGTGGCTGGCTTGAGATGGTCACCATTTTCCAGGGGGAAGTTACTTATGATATGTCTGAGGTGTTCAAGATGGGAGCTGTAGGTGACAAAGAAAAGCTGTCTACATTGGACACATGGGGCAATCCTTACTTGTAAGAATGAATGAACACTGATCTGACATCAGTACCAGGAACAAGAAATCATCCACAGACTGAACTCTGTTAAGTGTGGTCCAAACTGAGGCTATGGATTCTTATCTCATTAACTGGATTTTCTTTTATTAAGTCCTATATCCCTCAATAGGCTAACTCCTTTTTTCTCTCCTAACCACCTCTCAGCAGTTTCCCCTCCTTTTTCGTTTCCCTTTGCCTGCCCTTTGTTTTCTAATCACTACTTCCTATTTATCAGCTCTACCTCCTCCAGTCCCTTCATAGTATCTGATGATGGGTCTGAAGTAAATCCTCTGCTTATGCAAGCTGATTATATGCATCTGATTTAGTTAGTCTATAAGGTGCAAATCCACTCTGCCTTCTGCCTGACTTTAGACTAACAGGACTATTGAATATGCAGCCACTCAGACACGTACTAAAATTAAAATGATTTTTCAATAATTGTAAATAGCCTTCCTCTGCATATACACAGGAATATCTGCCTCATAGACTTTCCCAATGCCTTCATCCATCTTCACATTCTTATAGTTAGCAATCAGAAAAAAAGGCCGAGGCAAGCAGTTTGAAAGAAAGATGCTCTGTCCCTTGTAAAACAAAACTACTTGGTCTACCTTTAGATAAATGAATGTAGTGCATTTGAAGATTGCCTGAAGGTTTGTGTTATCAATCTTTCTTTTTAATCAGTGAATCATCACAAGAAATAGCACTTCTGTTGCTACAGTTGCACTCTAATCTTTGCTGTGTTTCGTACAGTTGGTAATATGAGTGACTATATTTACCAGTCTAAAACAAACTCATTTTTGAACCTAATCCTTATGCACTGATGCTTCTTGAAAACTTCCACAAGGTATTCATTTTAATTTGATGAAATTATAACTGCCTGTTGATACTAACTTTAATCTTTTGCTTTTAATCATTATTTTTCAGAAATTTTACTGTTGTTAATTCCAAAATCATCGTTGTCACTATAAGGCCTGAACCTAAAACTACTGACTCCTTTCTAGAGATAGAGTTGGCACACCTGTCTAATGTAAGTACTTATGCTGTGAATAATTATATTTAATTGTATTCATCTTACCTTAGCTTTTTAAAAGTATTGCTAGTAACAAGAGCAATGTATCTAGTAAAAATAAAGCACAGAGACGTAATGCCTATGCTAAACAGAATGTTTGCATGATGTATGTATACAGCACATCCTGGCCTTTGTTTCTGGCATTTTTAAAATTTTTATTTAAATACCAACTGCTTTGATGGATACAATGTAAAATGTGGTATTTATCCATTGGTTTCTCTTTTGTTACCAGATAAGGTCATAGCACAACTCATGCCTCAAGACCTTTCTCCCTCTTTCCTTCTATTATGTGATATATCAAAAGCTAATTCATATTTTAACTTCACTAGCAGAATATGAAAATTTAGGCTCCTTCTAGTTTAGTTTGCAACTTCTGTTAATTCAAAAGGTCCTTCATGCACTTATCTTTCTTCTTTTTTCCATCTTCTGTTCAAAGTATTTTTAAACCAAAAAAAAAAGCAATGTTATACTTAACTCAGTATTAAAGGGCACACAACATTATAAATACCTACTGTAAAACATCATGGGCAGCATGAAATGGAGTTACTGATCTCATTTAGTTCCCAGTAATCAGGTATCAAGGCCATCACAATTGTTACTAAGGGACAGATATTCAAAAAGCCTGAGCCTGAATCAGTTCAATCTTTGCAGGTTAGTCTAACCTAGCTAGGCTGAACTGGTTTGTAACTGGACAGACATTCCCTCTGGACTGAGGAAATTCAGGTACATGCCTGCAGTGGATCAGGCTAGAAGCCAGGGGGTGCTAAAGCAGCCATCACTTCTCTTTGAGAGTGCTGTGCTAAGGGGAGGGGGTGACAGCAGGACACTCTGATTCAGGAGGGGTGTAAACCCCCACCCTGCCTGCACCATCCCCGGCTTTTCTCCACTGGCTGCTCAAGGGGCAGGAGTGTTGCTAGCCCCCACCCCCTGCTAGCACTCTGAGGCAAGGGCAAGTGTCCAGTGCATGTGTCTGTGGATGATACAAAGCTTTTCAAGCTTTTCAAAGCTTTTCCCTATTTCTTTATACTGTCTGCAGCAAGCTGACAGGCAAGTAAGCCAGCAGGGAGTTGATAACAGTATTTATCACCTCATTAGCAAAACAATAGCCTCTCTCCATTAGTTCAAACTCTTCTTAAACAGCTTACCAGCTAACCTGTTGATTAGCTCCAAAAAGCCCTAAGTAGTCACTGTTCTGTCTGCCTGTCCCAGTGAAACAAGAGACACATGCAGATACCTCTTGGCATTAGGTAGCATACTACATGCCTAGGGTCCATGGGGCTGGGAGCTGTGCTGTGGGAGATGGGAGTGAGGAAGTGAGGGATTCCTGCTTAAGCAGCAAGCGGTGAGGGGGGTAGTGTAGGGGGAGGCCAAGCATACCCTGCTATACCTGCAGTCTGTGCCAGAGCTGCAGCCAGGGATGAGAGAGGAGGAGCCAGCCCTGCTGTGGAGCAGAGAGCCTCCTCCCAGCCCAGAGAGCATGCCAGGATGTTGGGGGAGTCTGGTTTATCTTAACCCAACAAGGGTTCTGGGACAGACATTGCATAAACTGGTTTGAGCCAGTCTGATACTACATTCAACCAGGTTTATCTCAAACTGGTTTCAGCCATTTTCAAAGTGGTTTATGTGCACTGAACATCTGTTCTGCTACAGGTTTAAACCAGTTTCTGATCACTTCAACCTGTTTATGTGTAACTTCCGTCCCTAACCTTAATGTAAATTTTATCAGAAAAGTCAGGAATGGAACAATGATGGAACCTGAGTTAACTTCTGATTCTTAAAGATAATCTGTTTAAGACAGTGTTGACGCATACCAGTGACACAGCATATAAAACCTGTTTATTCTTGTAGCCAGTGTTTTAGTTCAAGCATGGGTTAATGGAAAAATAGATATCTAGTAGTGCTAGGACCAGAAATTTTCTAAAAACTATTGGAATTTTTTGTGATGTGGACCAAAAAGGGACATGAAGTTAGAGCCCAAGACTTCACTTCTATTTATTAGAAAAAACAGTCATTTTGCAGGATATGTTTGCTTTACAGTATTTAGATATGTCAGACTGCTGTGTTCTTCAGATAAACTAATGATGCATCAAGATCTTGGATTTTTTTTAAAGTAATTTAATATTAATTTTGGAGTTACTTTCATAGATCATTATTGATGTTACTATCATGGATCATGAACACTAGAATATTAATTTAACTTAAATTGTTATGAATAGTTAATCACAAGACCCTAAGGCATATGAGTGGAGGGAAATTAGAAGGTTGTATTGACTTTGATCATTACTGTTAGATAAGAAGCAAGAAATAATCACAATTATATCAGTAAGCTTTGTATCAGTGTTGAAATCAATTGATAACCCAACACAACCAATAAAATACAGCACAACACAAACAAAGGTAGGTTAAGGGAAGGTTAAATCAATATCTCTGCTAGACTTTTAAAAATGACCTCTTTCTTCAAGTTGTTTATTCTCTTATTCTTTGTAGTAATTACAAACCCAGTTTTTGCACATTTTCCAGCACTTTTTAAAAAGTTCATTAGCTTTTTTCAGTAACGGAAATGCAGGACATTGATTGTCATCTGGCTGTGTTCATCTTTCTGTAACAGGATATTAATGTCTACTGTATTAGAACAGGGCTAGGCAATGCTGAGCTAGCAAGATGACAATACTTTTGCCAATAGATGCTAAAACTAGCACTGTTTTTGGCCGTTTTTCACACATTTTGTTCCAAACATCTGAAAGTTTTATCCAATTTAAGGTCCTATTCCTGAAATTCAGTCTATGTACAAAGAGCCCTTTGCTGAGGTCAGTGGGCTGGATCCTAATCAACCTCAAAGATTTTGTGTTACTTTGTTTTTTAAATAATACCTTTTTAAGGTGAAACACATAGGCACTCCTGGCAACAGAGTCTGGATCTCATGCCTCTGTCTTTCAAGGGAAAGTCCTCCTCACTCAGACACAAATGATACTATGACATGCTCTGGCTCTAGTTGGAGTCTAGATATCCTTTGAGACATACTTCCAGCCTGGAAGTGAGTCAGGAGACCTTTGAGACCTTCTACTTACAGCTGGAAGTGTGTCTGGAGTCTGGAGACCTTTGAGACACACTTCTAGGCTGCTTCCACACATTGGGTGCCCTTTTCTACTAAACCCCTCTCTGCTGTCTACTGTTTTACCACTGAGAACTAGCGGGGTGTACCAGAGGTCAATTTCTTGGCCTGTGGTGTCTCAGCTCTACTTGTCTTGCTTGGGCCTTGCCAGAACTTAGCAGAGGGAAATTTTCCATCTACATGGATCATACCCTTGTCTGATTATGTGTGAGAAAAAATGGATCCCCTTTCTGTAGAATAGGCAAGCCTGTATGGTCAGATACTCTTGAATCATAAATATAACTGACTGCAAGTGGTTTGTAAAAAGGTAACAAACAGGGCTTATCATAAAGAAAAAGCAAGAACAAATATAAGAGAACAGTGACCATATGTTGAGATGCAGATAGAAATATGAGCAAACAAACAAGAGAAAATATCAGAACAATAACCAATAACCTCTTCTTACTCTGTCTCCAAAAGGTGCAGTCTCTAGTCAGCTTCAAGAGGTTAAAAAGGAGACCCTGACTATGATTTTTCTGTTGGGGCCTTCTGCAAGTTCTCCTGTGAGCTTTCTTTTTCATCCTGCTTTTCTCAGGCTAAGGGACACTAGCCCCCCCTGTATCTGGAAAGCCATGCTCTCAAAGCATGTTTTAGTACAGTTTCCTATTTGGCTATTTACACATGTCATCTCTTCAATTCTATGGGGCGTACATTATGCCAGTAACTTTTTGCCTCCCAGTGGTGCACTTTTTCCAGGCTACAAGCTTTTCCTTTTCCTATTGGCTAGGGACAGACATTCAAAAAGGCTGAGCCTGAATTGATTCAATCTTTGCAAGTTAGCCTAACCTGCCTAAGTTAAACTGGTTTACAAGTGCACAGACATTCCCTCTGGACTAAGGAAATGCAGGCCCAGGCCTGCAGTGGCTCAGGCTACAAGCCAGGGGTTACTAGAGCAGCCCTCCCTTCCCTCCCATAGTGCTGAGCTGAGGGAGTGTGTGGCCAGGCCTGGGCAGGATGCTCAGATTAGGGAAGAGTTTAAACCCTTCACCCTGCCTGTATAGTCCGAGGCTTTTTCCTGCTCACTACTCAAGGGGCAGGAGAGTTGTCATCCCCCAGCCCCTGGCACTCTGAGGCAAAGGGGGGCGCAGGGTAGTGCATGCATCTGTTAATGATACTGAGATTTTCAATCTCCCTCTCTCTGATACTTCATATTGTCTGCAGCAAACCTGAGAGGTGAGGGAGGCAACAGGGAGCTGATAACACAGTGTTTAGCAGCCCATCAAGAAAACAAAAGCCTTTCTCATTAGTTCAAGCTCTTAAACAGTTTTTTCCAAGATAAGAAGGGAGGGACATTATCAGATGACCTGTTGATTAGCTGCAAAAAGCCCTAAGCAGACACTATCATGTCTGCCTTTATCCTGTCCCAGTGAATTTGGAGACAAACACACAGAGATCCCTCTCAGCATTAGCTAGCATACCACATGCCTGCTGGGGTCCGTGCTGTGAGAAATGGAAAGGAGGGAGGGAGGGATCCCTGCTTGAGCAGTGAGTGGCAAAGGGGGGTGGGAGGG